CAACTAGTGACAGGATCATATGGCTTTTTCCTTTCCTCTGTTTAAATGATGACTTTTGGGGGTGAATCTTCCAATGCTGAACCAACACTGTCATCCCTATAACAAAACCACTTTCTACATCCTGCCAGATCTGACTTTCAATACTTCGTTTTGTTAAACAAATTTCTATCTATGTTCATGCTTTTTTCTCCTATTATCTTTATCCAGTTTTAGGATTAGCACAATGTTGAGTTCCTAAAATGAGAGGAGAAGTGTTCCTTCTTTTTTCTGCTTTGATTGTTTGATATAATTTATCAGTTAAAATGTTTTTGAGCCTGCTGTTGTCATATAGGTAGGTTTTCAAGCTAGGAATATACTTTCTTTAATAGGTGCTATTCAAATTTTATATTTCCTCCAGAGTTAGTTTCATTAATTTGTCTTCCAAAGTACTTCTTAGAAGCTATCAAATTTATTTCAAAACAGATTTTTGTAATATGCTTTCTATATCCTTTTAAATTCTATAAAATCCGTGGTAATGTCTCCTAGATCTTAATATTGTAATTTTAAAAATGTATAACTGATTTTGTGTAACAGGAAGAAAAGGTCTAAAAGACCAGGGGAATTGGGAGGGGTAGGGGAAGGGAAAAAAGGGAAAGGAAAAAATATGAGAAGAGGAAAAAAAATGGAAACAAGGTCTTTGCAAATAAGGAAGAGGGGAGAGGGTAAAGGGAGGGCAAGGGAAGGGGAAAAAAATAAGAACCAAAATACTCATGTAAAGGTACAAGATCCCAATGATGAATGTAACTGTATTTTATACCTGAAATCTACCAATAAACTTAATGGGAAAAAAAATAAAAAACCAAACACCACAGTCAGAACAAGAAAAAAATAAAAACTAAAAAAATAATAAAAAATAAAAAATAAAAGGAAGGGCAGCCACAGAAGGAGCCTTTATTATGCAAATTGCCACTGAGGGCAACAGGAGCTTAATTTCCCTCAGGAGCTCCAGGAAGCAATGTAGACAGCACCTGCCTCAGAGTTACCCACCAACTCCTGCCAAGCACTGGCTTGAGGCTGCTCCCCAGGATATCATACATATCCTACATATATGTATAGAAAAAAAGCACAGGATCCAGTCATGTGGAAATGACAGTGTCCCCATGTCCCCTCCCATGCTGCTGCCATCATCATTAGAACCATAAGTCCAAGCTAGCCCACTGGCCCAGGAGAAGGAAGAGAGGTACATGAAAAAGAATTGGTCTAACTGCCACCACAGGGAGCCTGAGTCACCCCAGACAACAATAAAAAGCAGGGCTGCCCAGCCAAGCCCACTAATACCAGCCAACCCTGGGCAACCCACAGAGGCAAGCAGGCCCAGCCAGGATCCGCAGAAGTGCCCGGCCTGGGCCACCAATGCAAGGTGCCTGTTATTAGACTCTGCTGACAGTATAATTTTTGTGTAGCACCTGTTACCTTTGCCCATGCAAGACGCTCTCTCAGTCCTCCTGTAGTACTTGATGCCTGTAGGGAACAGGGAAAGGGGACGTTACTAGAACCTCTGCAGTAAGTCCTAGTCTCCTGTGAGCCACAGCAGCACAAGGCGAATTACAGGAAAGGTAGAAAAATGACACTGAGAAGAAGCTGAGCTTTAGGTCTAATCAGTGCTGCTCTGGGCAGCAAAGACGACAGCCCCCAGCTTACTCCACCTTTTATTCAGTACATCGGGAGAAACAAATGTAACAAATGACTTGCAGAGAGTTCAGTACATCCTGCGTAAATAAGATGTAACAATCCAAGAACAAG